GAAGAGAAGAGGAATGACAGAACTGAGAAGAAACTTTGAAACAAAGAATATCAGTTTACTACTCACAGAAAGACAAGCAGCAATTACACAGATAAAGCTTCAAGTCGACCCTATAGTTCTGATTCAAAAAGAACCATATGAATGACTTTGTAGAAGCTGCACATAAAGTTTGAACTGTCCAAACTGCAGGATGCGAGGGAAGAACCTGAACTTCGATCAAACCTATCAACAAAATTAGACAAAAAGACTATAATCAGGATAAGGAACCGGAAGGCAGACAAGGAAGTGCCAAAGTAGAAATTGTCATGGCTGTTGAAAATGGAGTACTTTAAAGCATATGCTGACATTGCTGGTTAGTTAGTATGTACGTGTTGAGAGACCAAGACAACTAATGCGTAGCAGTATCGACAAGCCAAGGCAAACATGGAGAAAAGAAAGACCATGCATCCAGGAAGCAACTTGATTAGTGGCAAAGCAGAACCTAAAACTAACTTGTGGATCACAAATTCAGGTGCATTATTGTGAATACATTCCTTAGAGCGAAGAATATAGAGCAAGAACAACCAGAATGCCTGATGAACTCTAGCGACAGCGACTGGCAAATATACAAAACAGTTTAGAGTGCCATTTCATACACACATGGGCAAAGTGCCCGCTAACATAGTCATCTAAAGTACTTTGGAGGCTATAACTCACTACATCACCTAACTATGCATCCAAATTCGTAGCTTAACATAAGTCGAGAGAGAACAAGCCACTTTGTGGCCTTGAACATCTATGACTCAAATTCAACACTCAGTTCTAAAATCAGATGGCAACCAAACACACTACCCTTATGACTTATGAGCATCAAAGGGTAAATATTCAACAGTAATCATCAAAGTGCACACACACCATTTGGATTCGATAGCAAGGACGGGGATTCATTCTGAGAAAAGTACCTAGACAAGTTCAATGTACGCCATGGGAGCATTGTCCCCACGCCTCGGCAGAGTTCTGATGATTCTCGTGTATCCACCATTTCTTTCCCCATATCTATCCGGAACTTCTGCGAACAAGGCATGTACAATCTGCTTCTCGTAGATGAAACCCAGAGCTTGTCTCCTCTTGTGGAGCGACCCATCCTTGGCTAACGTAATCATCTTGTCAACAAACTTCCTCATGGCGCTAGCCCGAGCTCTGGTGGTTTTGATCCTACCGTGCTTTAACAACTGAGTAGTGAGGCCTCTCAGCAATGCTTTCCGTTGGTCTGGAGGCCGATTGAGCCTCGCAATTCGTCTCCCATGCCTCATTGCAAAGAATCGTGACCCATTATCAATGGAAGGGAAGAAATGGTTGCTAGCATGTTCTGCAAGAATCAAACAAGCCAACATCCACAACATTGACTCAATTTGTAGTTAAACGCTGCTGAATTATCAACCGGATACACAATACAAGCAATTAGAAGCGGGGAATCGGAAAAATTGAATCCTTGATATTGATAAGTCAAAATGTGGACGGAGTGAAAATAGGAAGTGAAAAGTACCAGTGAAGCCAAGGGAAAGGAGAGGGTTAAGAGGCGCAAGTCCGGCGAAAGAGTGCAGTGGGGAGCTATGGCGAGCGACGGCGACGGCGTGGGAGATACGGGAGGATTGAAATCGCATACGGGCAATAGGAGGACGCGAAGAATTCAGGGAAGGACTAGGGAGAGCAGCGCTTAAGGATGCCATGCTCCATCTGCTGTGACAAGTACCGGCCGCCGCCGCTGCCGCCGTCACGAGCATCCTCGCGTTTGCTTGTCGCCTTTTTTTTTCTTCTTCTTCTTCTACTTTCTCGCACAGAGCTCCGACCGACCACTGTCCGTCTCCGTCCTATGGATAAGGAATGGATTAGGATATGGAATCGACCTTGAAGAAGCCAATTCAGGTTTTTAACTGGGCCTAGTGGTAATGTGGAAGCCCAAGCTGTATTCTCTGGCCTACACTAAAGAAAACGGGCCTGCCCGAAAGTGAAATGTACAAGGATGTAGTAACACGAGCAAAATAGTATAACACGGTGGCCCAAATTTTAAGGGTGGTTTGGATTAGGGCTGCAAACGAGCCGAGTCGAGTTTTTGCTTAGATTGAGTTCGGATCATTTATAAATTTTTCAGTTCGAGCTCGGCTCTAACTTGAATTTTAATAATCCAGCAGGATGATTATTAATCGAGCTGAGCTCGACTCGGTAAAGTTCGATAAATGCGCATTAACACAGCTTGTCAAGCTGAGTATAAGCTTGGCTCAAGATAAGCACGATTTGAAATCATTCTTGTGGAATATTGTGTACACATAAGAATTTAAATGACTAAAAGAACATTAGAAACTATAAATAACAACTAACTTCCATACACATCCGTATTAACAAGATAATGTTAATGTTCAGAAGAGTAAGTAATCATTCCACAAGCTCTAAATAGCCCAGATCGCGAGCTTAGCTCAACAAGCCCCCAACTCAAGCTAGCTCACGAGCTTATCAAGCTGAGCATGGTCGTTTACTATCAAGCTGGCTCGCGAGCCAGCTTGTTAAATAACGAGTCAAGTGTCAAACGAGTTTTTTCCGATTCGAACGTCGAGTTGCTCGCGAGCAGCTTGGCTCATTTGCAGGCCTAGTTTGGATGAAGGTTTTCTAAAACCTAGGATTTTACCCACAATCTCACAATTTAAAAATCTAGATTTTTAATATGCGAGATTTTAATAAATCACTTGTTTGTTTACAAACCTAGATTTTTAATGGAAAATAAGCAAATACAATTTTGCCCTCCTCCCTTTCTTCCTAATCATCTTCCTTCTTCCTAAGCCAAAAAATTAAAACTCTCAACCCAGAAATTGGATCCCTAAAAACCGGGAATGGATCAGGTCAGTAACCTTATGGTGAGTAACCATGAGTAACGCGTCCACATCAGCATGACATCAGCATTCTCTATCTCCTGGGAAGCATTTAATTTTCCCCTCCTTAATCTTTGACGGGCGATTTCTCACTAGTTTTAAGTCGATTTTTTTTTTGCACAGTTAAATCCGATTAATTGTGCTCTTCAAAATAATATCCACTTTGATATATTTTTCGAACAAAAAAATTGAGCCATTTTTTACCTGTCTATACCATATGGTATTGACTGGTATTGAAATAAGAGCATACATATGGTTTTAAAAGCGTACCATGGTGGTATGAACAAACCAAGACTGTAGGATGATTGAATACATGATAGTAAAAGTATATTAATTGTCATTTACGACTTTTAACATTGTATACCACAAGATACCACCTCGTACCAGGGTGGTATTGTATGGTATTGTGTGGTATTTTTTGGTCATGTAATTTGTTCACCCAGAAATTTGTAGATCCAATAGATCATGATGAACTCGTCCCTTCTGTGCAAACGTTTTCAAAAACGAATTAAAAACGAAGAAGATACCATATGGTATGCAGTTGGTACCGAGAGGCCAGAATTTTTTTTCTCAAAAAATATTGAAAATTAATCTCATTTTGTAGAGCACGATGAACTCGTTCCATCTGTGCAAAAAAAAATTAAAATCCGAGTTAAAACGCAAAATATATGAGTTAATTAAGAAAGCTAGGAAAAATAAAAATGGTCTTTAATTCTCCATTCTTAGATCTGAATTTTCTAAATGAAGGGTCCAGATTTGGTTATTGATGGGTGCACCCTATCTTGAGCCCTAAAAACCAGCCCAGAAACATACCAAATTACAGCTGCGTAGAATCCAAAGATTTTTACTCAACTAAAGTACTGCTGCATTTATATTTAATATCTTGGCGTGCTTAGTGATATCGCCGTCAAGAAGATGCCCAGCCCAAAAAAGAAGATGCCCAGCCTAGAAAAGTCCCAATCGAAGTCCTTCGTGTGGAAATTGCTGTCAATCGGGAAGATGACGGCGACGACATGCTTCACGAAGCCCAGAAGTGTTGTTCATCTCCCAGCCAAGAAACGTCTCAATCGACGGGCTTCGAGCGGGAATCGCGGTCAATCGAAAGGAGAGGGAGAGGAAAAATATGTCGGCGGTGACATGCTTCACAAAGCCCAGAAGCATCCTCTATCTCCCAGCCAGTGGAGAACAAGCCCAAAACGTCGGCTTGAAGGAGTGGATCTGTCCGGAGCATGGTAAAGGAAACCATACCGAAAGTCATACTGGCCCCGTCGGTGGTAGGGTATTTTATTGTACGACCGTAATTCAACCGTTGTGAACGGGTAAAATACCATTTTTGTAATTAAAAAATATTTTTTTTAAAACCATACCGACAAATTTAGGATACCGTTTCGGAATATACCGGATAACAAACCTAAATCTATACTATATTTAATACAAATTCATTGGTAAGATTTTCATCATTTTGAATTTCCAGGCTCCAGCTTCATTCACGAAAGGACCTTAAAGTAATTCACATGCCAATAGAAATCGAAGTGAGTGCTATACTAAAAAAAAAAAAAGATGAGGAGAGCTCTCTCCTCTCTCCTAAGCCCTGCCCGCTGGGTTGGGAAACTATTGCTTACTATGGTGATCTCAATCTTCCTTAGCTGCCTGCGTAATCAACGCTGGGTGCTATAGCGAAAACCAAGAAATCTTGGGACTCGTTCTCTCACGGGTAGGAAGGTGGAGTTTGCAGATCCCCTTTCTGTTCGCCGGCGCCGCAAGGTGTTTCCTGGTGATGGAAGACCTTTCCTTGTTGATCACTGTTCTGAGCAAAGAAACGGGAAGCGGAAGTTTGGGCGGATCCCGACAGAAGAGATTGGGTCCAATGATGTTGACGCAAAGCGGCGACGATTCTCGAAAAAAGTTGTGTGGTTGTTCAAGATTCCCTCAATGGAGGAGTTAGAGTGGGAGGAGCTGGTAGTAACCAAACCCAACATGGTTGTCAAGCTGGAAATGACAATCGGGACTACCTCTCCCTCACCTTTGTTTAAGAGTTGATCAGAAGATTCCGCTGAGAATGGCAATTGCTGGCGGCCGGGTCGTAAAACCCCCGCCATGGAGGAACGTGGTGAGAAGGAACTCATAGCCAAGACAATCCACATGGAGGTCAACGTGGATTTGGTAATCGGGAATTCCTCTCCCCCTCCTTTGATTAAGAGTAACTCGGCAGTCCCAGTTCAAAATGAAAACCTCCGGCAGCCGGTTTGTTCTCTGAACTCCGACGTCGAGAAATTTGCCAATGGGGATTACTGGATCACACAATCCTCTAACCGGGATACGTTTGTTACGGGAATATCTTCCCTTGATTTGTTTACTGAGAGGACATGATTTTTTATTATTAAAAACCAATCCCCTCTGTCTCGGATGCAGAGTTCCCCTCGTAAGTGGTCTCTGCTAACCCTAAAACGCGTGGGCCTGGATACACCTAATAGGGAGACCCGACTTTTATATAAGCACCTGCCAATAACTCTTCTATCTGGAGCAAACCGTTCGGGCGAGATAGAAAGAAAGTTACGTCAGTGCAAGTCGGCGTCGACCTTAGACATCCTACCCACGCAGGTACTGCTTCACTTTCCCTTCTTCTCCCTCGGGTTCCATTTTTTGATAAGTTCCCATTGCTACGTGCCGAGCCTGGGGATTTGAATAAGAACACGATAGGGAGTTTGATTGGAAACCATCATCCTAGCAATATAGAATACATAGGCATGCATTGAGTGGGGTACACGATGAATGATACTGATGTGCCTAATCCTCTTGTGCAGCTCCAAATTATGGCGCATGCCACTTTGAACCAAGTGGTGCAATTCTCAATGGAGGAAGTCCGTCCAATCAACGAAATATCGTGCTTCTCATTCGTTGTTGGGAAGGGTTTTTTACTTCGAACATGATCTCTACGACGGAGCTAAGAGATTCGGTGATCACTCCTTGGGTCATCCAAGGGCGACTCAGGGTGGTGCTGGCTAAACAGGGTCTGGTGGAATTTATGCTTCCAAGCGTGGAGGCCAAGATTTGGGTGCTTAAACGAACCCCCTAGGTCATCATGACCAGATCATCCATCTCAGGCCGTGGACCCCGGCTATCACTAAACAAACGTTTGATGAACTGGCAATAGCCCCGTTCCGGATCCAATTGTGGGATGTTAAAGAAGACTGCTGCACGCAGCAGTTTGGAAGAAAAATGGTGGGTGCGACGATCGGAAAAGTGCTGGAATCAGGGGTTTTCGCTTGTCAAGATACCGGGGCCTGGTTTGTGAAAGTCAAAGCGCTGGTTGATTTCACCAAACCCCTTCGCTCTCAGATCATGGCCACGAATGATGACACATGGTGCTTTTGGGTGAGCCTGAAGTACGAGTACCTGCCAAGCTTCTGTTACTAGTGTGGTAGAGTGGGTCATTCTCTCTGTACGTGTGCCTTTGATCCTCCTACACGGAAGGAGAGGTATGGTCCTCATATGGCCACTAGGAAGATGGGGACTCGTATTTATGATACGGAGGAGAGCAATGCCAATTTCTCGAGAGGCGCCAGTACGGTGTGGATCAATAAATCCTATCGGGACCCAAAAGGTAGAAAGGAGGGGAGAAATTTTGCTCATGGCGGGGAGATGCAGGGGTCTCCCGTCCAACCCCAACATCGCCAACATCAAATTCCGCCTAGGGCCATGGACCTTACTGCTCCGATGGGGCCTCACCACAGGCCGAGTCCTCGCGGCTTCCGGATGACGCGATCGCCTAAGCTCTTGGTTGGTCGGGCTGCGCGGCCGTTACGAGCTCCAGTTGAGAATTCTGGGAGGGCTCGGACCATTATTCGGAATGATGGGCAGAGAGATGACGGTGATGGGGTTAGTGAGGGGAGGCATAGACACCTGCCAATGCAGCCGGAGGTAGCTGCTCACAGCTCTGAGGTTGCCTTCGGTGGGGATGAAGAGTACGGGAATGCGGAGACCAGGGTGGGTAAACTTGAGCCCATTGATGGCCGCCGCCGAAGGTTGATATTGGAGGACCTGGAGGATGATTTTGAACCGCCAGTGCTTGGGAAGAAGGAACCGAAGGAGCTGGCTGCTTGTGAGGGGAAGAAGAAGGGTCGTAAGCTGGTGAAGGCGGGGGCAGTGAAGCAGACTGCTGGCACGTCCCCAGATAAAGCCAAGCCTCGACAGGCTCGCAAGAAGAAGGAGTGGTCGATGCTCCGAACGGAAGAGGAGGTGATAGGTGACAAAGATTCGCTCCCGATCCGGCTGGGGAAGCAGAAAGGAGGTCGGAAGGCTCGAGAAATTCCCTCTGCTCCTTTAGATGAAAATTCGGAGGTAGATGGACCGCTAGGGGACAAGGGGAAATCGGCTGCCCAGGACCAGCAGGTTGAGGAGAGTAATCTCTCGGATGAGTCTCTGTCAGAGGAGGATAAGCTCCGCTTTGTGATCAAGACTAGGCGGCTGCCTTCTGATCAGGAGCAACTTACTCAGCCTGGTCAGGTGCAACAGGTGGTGGCTGCTTTTGAGGAAGGGCTAGTGCTCAATGAGGCTAAGGATAGCTTGGAGGCTGCGGAAGGGGACAAGACACTCATGCTCAATGAATATGGCTCCAATATTGAGGGTGGAAGCCCGAAACGTTCAATTCAAGCTTTGGAGGGGATGTCTGTGGATAGTCCCACTCCCAAGAGGCAGTTTGTTGAGGATCAAATTGGTACTGAGGACGCTGAATTGGTGGAGGAAGCTAGCCAAGAGTGGCCCCAATCCGATAAATGAGGCTTTTGGCCTGGAATGTGAGAGAAATTGGGCCATGCCTCACGTTCCAAACTGCATTAGGTTTAATTCGTTCTAATAAGCCGGACCTTGTTTTCTTTGCGGAGACAAGATCGTCCCGGAGAGTAGTTTCCCGGCGTTTGCGGGGTTTAGGTTTTGAGTCTTCTGAATGTTTTTTTGTTGATGCCATTAATGGTGCTGGCAGTCTTGTTTTAGCTAGGTCCCCCGGAGTTGGCACTTCGGTGTTTTTCCATTCCAGTTTTTGCATTTTTTCAACGATTAATGAAAGTGACTTTTCGTATGTGGTGATTTGTGTTTACTTGAGTTGTAACTGCTATACGTGCAACTCAATTTACTCAAATTCGTGAGATCTGTGCGGGCCTCGTTCTTCCCTTTGTGATCATTGGGGATCTGAATGTTACCCTTAATGACGGTGAGAAGGATGGTGGAAACCCTTGGAATGCTTCCCAAGCCATTGACCTTAGGGATATGATCCAGGATATGAGACTGCATGACCCAGGGTACCAGGGGGACCCATTCACCTGGGCCAATAAGCGTATGGGGATGGCGTGCATTCGGGAGAGGCTAGATAGAGCTCTCTGCTCCCAAATTTGGGTGGATGCCTTCCCTGAGACTCTGGTGAAGCATTTCACGGACCAAGGATCTGATCATTGGGCGCTGCTCCTGTCTGATAAACCATACGTCAGGATGTGTCGCCCCCTATTCCGTTTTGATGCTCGTTGGGCAGATAACACTGTGGTCAGGGCGATGGTATCCTACGTCTGGCAGGAGCAAATTCAGGGTACACCGATGTTTCAGTTGTGGGAGAGGTTGAAAAAGCTTCGTCCCTTGCTGTATGACTGGAGCCGAGCGGGGACCACCAATTCTCTGCGTAATATCCAAACTTTGAGAAATGAAATTGAGCGTATAAAAGCCATTCACCCGATCAATTGGCAGGAAGTGGCGGGGTTGGAATCTGAGTTAAGTAGGCAATGGGAGGTCGAGGAAGTGTATTGGCAATAGAAATCTCGGGTCCGATGGTTGAAAAGGGGGGATAAAAACTCTTCTTACTTCCATACGGTCACGAGAGCCCGTTGTAAAAGAAATTTTGTGACTGGTCTGTATAATGATGATGGAGAGTGGGTAACTGAGGAGCAAGGGAAAGCTGCGATAGCCACGGATTTTTACCAGACTCTCTTCACTTTGTAAAGTCATGTTCAAAATATGAGTGAAAGGGTGGCAGGCTTCCCTATTGCTTCTAATGTTACTCAGGAAATGAATGCTAGCTTAACGGCGGAGGTCCTTCCTGAGGAGATTCGTAGAACGGTTTTTGGTATGGGATCAAAGCAGGAGCCACGGTCGGATGGTTTTACGGGGAAGTTCTTTAAGGCTTTCTGGGGGATTGGTGGGGACTCAGTGATTGAAGCGGTCAGATCGTTCTTTGCAACGAGTCGAATGCTCCGCAGCTTCAATCACACCTGGTTGACGTTGATCCCTAAGGTGGATCAGGTGGAGTCTATGCGGCAACTTCGCCCCATTAGTCTGTGCCAGTTTGTGTATAAAGTGATTACTAAGATTATGGTTGAGAGGCTGGCAGGAGTGTTGCCTATAATTGTTTCAGAAGGACAGAATGCTTTTATTCGGGATAGGCAGATTGTGGAAAACACCCTCCTCGCGCATGAGTTGATGCACTACTTGAAAATCAAAACCCGTGGTAAGAAGGGATACATGGCTCTAAAGGTTGACATGGAAAAGGCCTATGATAGAGTTGAATGGTCATTCCTTCTGGCGGTTTTGGAAAAGATGAGTTTTAACTCAGTTTGGAGAGGATGGGTGCAGGAGTGTTTGCAGTCGGCTTCGTTTTCAGTGCTCATGAACGGGGCCCTTTCTGGGTTCTTTAGTTCCTCCAGGGGTCTCCAGCAAGGGGAACCTCTTTCTCCTCTTCTCTTTGTTCTGTGTACGGAGGGGTTCGCAGCCCTACTTCGTCAGGCCATTTCGGAGAAGAGGCTAGAAGGGGTCAAAGTTGCTCCTCGGGCTCCTCGGATTTCTCATTTATTCTTTACGGATGATTCTTACTTGTTCTTTCGGGGATCACTCCAGGAATGTGAGAATCTGATTGAAGTTTTGAATGAGTATGAGGAGCTGGGTGGCCAGAAGGTGAATTTGAGTAAATCAGCTGTTTGCTTCAGTAAGAATATCTCCTTGCCAGATCAGGAGTTCTTAGGGACGATTCTTGGGGTGGGGGCTGTGGGGGTCCATGATAAGTATCTTGGGATCCCTACTTTGATAGCGAGGTCAAAAGTGGCAACTTTCCGCTACTTGGAGGAAAAACTGTTAGAGCGCTTACAAGGATGGAAGAGAAGGACTTTGTCCTGGGCGGCTAAAGAAACTTTGATTAAACCTGTTGCTTTGGCCCTGCCGTTACATGTTATGTCCTGCTTTAGGCTTCCTCTGTCTCCGTGTCGCCTTCTGGATAAACATGTAGCGAGATTTTGGTGGGGTGTGGAGGATGGTCAGTCCAGAATTCGCTAGGTGTCTTAGCAAAATTTGTGCCGTAGTAAACATGAAGTATATCGAGATCAACTCCAAATGCAGCAACGTCGAGAGCAAAAACAGGCAAGTAATGCCTCTGGCAAAAAAGGAGAAGAAGGAGCTGGACTGGTGGATTCGAAGGCAGTGATGCTAGCACGCAGTGGAGATTTGAAGCAAGTTGCCTGTGTACGAGAACCTTTGATTGTGCTCATGTACAGGGACGTGCTTCTCAATCAAGAGCTAGTCCAGGAAGTTCCAGCCGAAGCAAGAGTGGTGTTGGATGAGTTCGAGGATGTGTTTCTAGAGGAAGCACCAAAGGGGCTGCCTCCTATTCGCGGGATTGAGCACAAGATTGATTTCGTGTCGGGAGCTCAAATTCCAAACAAGGAAGCATATCGAGCTAATCCGGAAGAGACCAAAGAGCTGCAAAGGCAGATTGACGAGCTCATGGAGAAGGGGCATGTTTGAGAAAGTTTGAGCCCGTGTGCAGTTCTGGTGATTCTCGTGCCAAAGAAGGATCACACCTGGCGAATGTGTGTAGACTGCCGAGCCATCAATCAAATTACAGTTAAGTATCGTCATCCAATTCCACGATTAGATGATATGCTTGATGAATTACATGGCTCTACGGTTTTCCAAGATTGATTTGAGATCAGGTTACCACCAAATTCATATGAAGGAGGGAGACGAGTGGAAGGCTACGTTTAAGACCAAGCAGAGTCTATACGAATGGATGGTGACGCCCTTTGGTTTAACCAATGCTCCTAGCACGTTCATGAGGCTGATGAACCACGTTTTGAGGCCATTCATTGGCAAGTTCGTGGTCGTATACTTCGACCACATTCTGGATATACTCGAAGTGCATGGAGGATCATCTCAATCATTTGAGAGAGGTGTTGGCGATGTTGAGAAAGGAGAAATTCTATGCTAACCTCAAGAAGTGCTTGTTTTGCACTTCTATTGTGATTTTTCTTGGTTTTATGGTGAGTGCAGATGGAGTCAAGGTGGATGAAGAGAAAGTGAAAGCAATTCATGATTGGCCTATTCCAACCAACGTGAATGAGGTGCGGAGCTTTCATGGGCTTGCTGGGTTCTATCGTCGATTTGTGCCCAATTTCAGCACCATTGCCGCACGATTGACATCCATCATCAAGAAGACCGTGATGTTCTGTAACATCCCGTTACGGCAAAACCCATATTTCGATCGTTAGAAAGTTCACGATTTAAAATCGAGCGTTTTAATAGTATTTCAACGAAAATCGGATTATCGATCGATCGGATAAGTATACGTATTAATTATACATATAATATTATATATATATATAATAATCCCGGGCCGCATATATATATTAACCCTTCCCCCGTCCCTTTTATTCTCATCACCATAATCTTTCTTCCACTTTCGAACCGAGTGAGAAGCAGAGCAAGCGGAAGTTCAGGGGAACGTCGGGGGAAAAATTCTCCAGCTCAATTCTTGAGCTACAGTGATCCAAAAATCCCGTAAGTAATGCCTAATTCATCTATACATCGTGATTTATCGATTTAGAGCTTTAAAACGAGTTTTTGGTTTAGGAATTTCTTGAATTCCCGATAAGCCAAATTAGGGTTTTGGAGTACCGGAAGCCGGATTGAGCCCAAATTTTATATACGAGCTTCCTACAGCGAGGTAATCAATCCTCTAGTTCTAATCTCTGAATTTTGGCAATTATTTAGGCCGGGGTCCAAACCGTTGAATTTAGCTCCAGCCAGGGTTTGATGTGTTTTTATCGAGAATTTGACCCGGAGCCTAGAACTAATATCGACGGGGATACTGCAGGGGATATTAGGACGCTCTCGGATTTTAATTCGGGGTTCGTTCGTGGAATTGATGTTTTAGTACGGGAGGCTAGAACCAGTGTTTGAACGACCAGAACTGGTGAGGGATTAGCACGGCATACCGGGTTTGTCGTATCACGATAATTATATTGATGCTTAGAATTGAACTAGGTGAACTAGAATGGCATGATTAGGGGTGTATGAACTTTTGTGCTATATGTTGAACCCTGGACTGCTGTATGATATTATTGACTTGCCCTAATCGATATGGACCTTATTTATGCTGATGATTGCATACATGTTGCCATTTGTGGCTTAACTGTTGATATGACTTCATGGTTGTTCGATCAGGTGTTTTGACATGATGTGATATTGTGGTTCTATTTGGATTCACAAGTGGGAAAAATAACCTTCCCAGGGTGATATTATGATGTTTAAGGAGGATGACTTGCACGAGGGTTTATCCCGAGGAAGTGCAATTATACGACTCCTGATTTACCTATGTTGAGCCATTTATGGCCAGGTCAAGCACATGCGTAAGTAATGAATTATGATTAAGCAAGATGAGATATGAATCATGTACAAGGATACCAAATATGAGTGTTGTGGTCTCACGGTCAACTACATAGTAATTAGGGCTCCCTATGCTATTACTCTATTATGATATGTATGATAGTCACACCTCTCATGTGCTGGTGACTGAAGAATTCTTACGAGATATGACCACACCCAGAGTGGTGTCGGGGTATGACTACACCCATAGTGGTGTGGGGTATGTATGACCACATCCGACGGGATGTTGGGGTATGTATGACTACATCCGACGGGATGTGGGGTATGTTTCCCGGGAGAGTTATTAGCATGGGAGTAGCCAGGCGCCTATGATTAAAACATGATAAGATGCATATGCATAAGTCAAGGTGGTTGAGTCTTTTGCCTATTGGGATGTCGGAGGGTTGAGATCTGATCCTAGTGCTTTGGCTTGTTTGCTAGATGTATGGTAGTGGTATGCTATGTTATGAACTCACGATGCTATGATTATCTCACTCAGCTATGAGCTGACCCTCTTTTATTCTTCTTCTCTGCTTATGCCATGTGTAAGCAGATCATCAGCAACAGTAGATAGGTGTATAGGTGGGAGCTGAGCAAGAGTTGAAGGCAAGATGAGGTATGGTCTTCAACCATTCTGTGCTTGGACTACTACTCGGGATTTTGGCCAGTGATCCACACCTTTTTGTAAAAAATGTTTTGAGAACGTTTTTCATGTGCATACTAGCTTCTGATGTAGTGTGAGATATCCACAAGTGTGGAAAGTTGATGATATGTGTATATTGTGGAATTATGTAAGTAGTGATAATTATAGCATGTATCAGTATAGTATGCAGTTGTGTAGTATGAAACTGTGACTATAGCTACGAAAAGCCAATGCATATGGTTGTGAGTGTATGTATTTGTCTATGAATGCATGGATTCAGATGAATTATTTTGCAGGATCATATGGAAGACCTGTTAGCCCATTACGCGAGTAATTCATGTCGAAATTTTATTTAGGTAAATTTTGATAATTAATGTAACAACCGAGATTAATTCCACTGCAATTGTATGAACAATATGATTAGGCAAAACGTATAGGGTAGGGTGTTATAGTTTGGTATCAGAGCCCGGTTTCCCTCTTTTTGCTGTTATGGCGTACTATACCCTATGGGAGGTTAAACACTCCTATGGAGGGGAGTACCCCATAATGACTTAAACTGGGAATTGAGTTTTACATGATTATGTGTATTGGTATATTGGATGAAATTACCTGCATCATGGTTTACAAAATTGAGTTTTGAACTTATTTGTTTTCAAGTAATTATTTTGGAAAATTTTCGTTTTAACCAAGTGAGAGATTTGGTGAGGAATGAATTTTGTGTGGATCAATCTAAGGCCAATATTTCCTTGTAGCTCGCACGGAAGTTGTGAAAATGTTCCTACTGACCAGTCGAGAGGAGTGGGGGCGGTTGATGCAAGACCGCCAGTATTAGACTATGCAAAGATGAAGAGTTTGGGTGGTAGGGACTTTAAAGGAGATGTGAGTCCGGATGCTGTGGTAGAGTGGTTGAGAGAGATGGAAGATGTGTTTGAGTATCTTTATGCGACCCCAGAGGAAAAAGTGCAATATGTTGTTTTTCTCCTAAAGGGTCAGTTCACCTGGGAGGAGTTCCTGAAGGCCTTTAAGACAGAGTTTCTTCCCGAAGCTTTTATCAGGGCAAAGAACAATGAATTTGCCAACCTTAAGCAGGAGAATATGACAGTTACTGAGTACACCATCAAGTTTGTTCGACTTCTTTACTTTGAGGATGGGTTGGCGGATACTGAGCATAAGAAGAAGATGAGATACTTGCATGGTCTGCGCATAGGATTGAAAGAAAAGGTCCACAGGGTTGATGAAGAGAGTATGGCCACAATCAAGGAGGCAGCACTTAAGTATGAAGCCTATGAAGTTGAGAGCCGAGAGGAATACAAGGCCAAAGAAGAGGAGAAGAAGAGGAAGTTTGGAGTAAATTATGCTGGACCTCGTTACCCACCCAGGAGAGGTCCTAGCAGTTTTGGGAGAACACCGAGTCAATCTATGACAGGAACATCATACAGGGCACCAATTTCCTCAGCCACACAATTTCCATTTTGTCAAGTTTGTCAGAAGAGGCATCTTGGAGAGTGTAGGAGATTTTCTGGTGTATGCTTTCACTGTGGCCAACCTGGGCACATCATGAGGGATTGTCCGCATTCGAGAGAAGTAAGAGCTACACAGTCCGAGCCTTCAGTGCAATTTAGTAGAGCCCCATTCAGGGGTGGTTACCAGGGAGGCCGTAGTGGATTTCAGAGTGGTCGTGGTGGTTCACAGGGTGGTAGAGGTGGTGGTCGAAATCAGCCATCAGGAAGTGGTACGCAGGGTACCAGAGCACAGGGAGCACCGAGGGTTTATGCAATGACTCGAGGTGAGGCAGAAGTGGCACCAGAAGTTGTGACTGGTATGCTTTCTATCCTTGGCAAGCAATTATATGCTTTGATCGATACTGGTTCCTCTCACTCATTCATGTCATATACGTTAGCACATATGCTACGCTTAGTTCCTGATAAGCTAGGTTATACCTTATGTGTTAAAACACCTGTGGGAGATACCTTGAAGGTAGACTCAGTTA